GCGCGCTGCACCGGTGGCTGGAGCGGCCGGCGACCGGCAGGCAGGCCACTTGGGCGAGCGAGTCGGGCGGATTTTGTAACTGTCTTTTCGGGATGAAGGAAAATTCTAATCGCAAATTTCCCCTTACATGACCCCCTATATTTCAGGGATCGCGCATCCGCCTGCCCTCGTCGATTTCAGATGCGATCAACCGTTCCCGAGATATGAGGATGCGCGAATGGGGCAGTTCTCGTCTTTTACCCCCTCAAAAGGGGGTAAAATTTCATTTGTCACAAAAATGGAAAAATACGGCAAAACTTTTCTTGTGAGAGCTTTCTAATGCAACAAACCGCATCTCGATACGAATTTTCTTTCGAAGTGAGGGGGTGGGGTGTTTTCTTTCATGACAAATCTACCCCTGTAAAAGGCAAATTTTTAAACGGGAGAAATGCCACTACCATTACTTCGACTAAAAGCAACAACTTTTATTAAGAGACGTTTTTCAATCGGACGGCAAATTTCAGCCCTGTGTTGTAAGTTTTTCGAGTTTTTATAAATTTAAGCATGAAAAGTATAAAACTTTCCATTTTTGGACTGACTATGCCTTCAATTACCAAGGTACCTATTTAAACGCACCAAACCGTGTAACTCTCCGACATCAAGAGGCTAAAATTCACCAAAAAATCAACTTTCCAGGACTATGTTTTTTGAAATTGCCGCGCGCATGCCCCCATTTTTCCTGGGTGATGAGAAATTGCCAATGCCGGTTTTTCGAATTATGAGAAATTGCTCATGTGTTTATTTCCGCTGGCGCTTCTCCCCCCACTCTAGGACTCTAGCGGCGGCCGGCCGGCGTTGCCGTGCAGCAGACGATGCGGTCAGGTGAGCGGCTGGACCAATGGGAGCGAAGGGAGTGCGAGAGAGAGAGCGATCAAGCCGGAGCGAGCCGCGCTGCGTCTCGGTCACTTGGCCGGCGGTCAGCAGAGGGAGAGGTGTGCAGCAAGACCTGGGCACGTTTGTTTTTGGAGAGAATTTTGGTTAACATCCGTGCTTTTCCGGCACATGGTGCTCGGTGAGTGATAATTCAACAGCAGCTCGATCCCGATTTGCCGTGTGATGTTTGTCCTAACGGTGATTGTTCCTTGTAGGGTCTTTATAGACACCCGTCTTTGACGACGTTATTCTTTCACTTTTGTCCGTGGTGTCCGCCTCCATGGCGTGTCAGCGCGTGTGCGCCTTGTTCTGCGCTATAATGGGCTAGGCCCTCTTGTTCCACCGGCGGTCCGCCACCGGGCCACCAGCAGCGCCATGACGTAGCCTTCCACACCGCCCGCCCCTCCGGGGCCGGGTCGGCTGCGTCCATCACTACTTGAATTTTCTCTCTCCCTCTCCATCACTTGGCCGTGTAAGTTGACATGTGTACGTGTCCTTTGTTTGATTTGCGTGAGGCCGGCGAGGCCCTTGTGCGCCGTAGATCGCGGCGCACCCGGTCGGTCCTTTGCGCGTGTACCAGTATTTTTCTGGCCAGTCTGTTGTAACCTCGATTTGTTTTCGTATGTCTCTCAACTTTAGTCTTTCTCTTTTAACCTTTGCCTGGCTCCGCGGGCGGTTCCATTCATTTAGGTTAACTTTATTTGCGCTTTGTTTTGCGGTGTAGTGTGGGAGGGCCTGGGGGTTAGCGAGGTCCTTGCACGTCGTAGATCGCGGCGTGCCCGGCTAGCTTCCTCTCCCTCCCCGCTTCACATTGGGTGTCATTTCCTTGGGGCAAATAGCGCTACTTTGAGTTTTTGTTCGATGGACCGTCCGCGGGTCGGTTGGGTGGTCTACCCTTCCGGCGCGTAAACAATTGTAGGAGGGGTTGCCTATATGGCAGGCGCTTTGCCGCTATGCGTCTATCAGATTTGGATTTTGGCTCTAGGAGCTACTTTATATTAGGATGTGACGTTCTATGTATTTAACAACATTATTCTTCCCCCTCATGACCAGCAGCTTTTATCGCCTTTTTTGTGTCTTGTTTGTATCTTTGTACAATAAATGAGTTGCTTTCATACGTGCTGATATTTTGTGAGGTTTACTCCTCTGGCGCCCTTATAAAATAAGCAGAATACTCACGCCACTCTACTATATATTCAGAAAGACTGAGCTGTCGGCTGTCTTAGTAGCCTAGCACTCGTTTACACAAGAGCACGTTACATTTTTGGCGCCCAACGTGGGGCCTCACGGCTTTTATTACTATTTTTCTATTCTTGCTGCTGGTCATGTGTTTCTATATTTTTTCGTGTATGCTTAGGGTAGATCTTGCCTCTACTTATATTAGGTTACAGTGTGAGAGATTTTAATTGTTTTTGCTGCTTGTGTTTCTGGTGGGTCGTCGGGAGTGACCGATTTGATTTGTTTAAACTTTTTCTGTAGTTTTATTTAGTCTTGCAATTTTCTCGGCGCTCCTTTCAGTTTTGCTTTTGGTCTGTTGCACTTTTCTGTGGTAGTGTTTTCATCTACCTCGTTTTTTGATTTGGTGATGTCTGTTCCGGAGCGGACTTTACCAGTGCTTCTGGGAGATTCGATCTTCCGTAGGCTTTTGAAGCGTAACTCATCGCTTTTTGCGCCTCTGAGTTGGAAGACGGCCCTTAGCGGCCAGACATCCGCTCAGCTTCATATTTTGTTGGTCGGGTTGCGGGAGGAGCTACGGGGAAGGCGAGAAGTTCTTCTTATCGGTGCGAACGACGTTTTGCAAGGCGTCTCGACCGACCGCATCCGAGCCAACATCCACAAGTGTGTCTTGATATTGAAGAGGCTTAAGTGCAATATCACTGTATGTGAGATTTTGCCCATCCCTAAATTAGGAAAGGAGGCGCCGCGGTGTGAGAGTGTGAACGCGCTCAACACCTACATTAGGACCTTAGCGCCTTCGGGTGTAAGGATGGTTCACTCCCACGACGAATTTGTTATAGGCAATATAATCAAGATTTACTTGTATTGTTCTACTTTAAAAAGGCGTTCTGGTCGTGAGGGGCTGGACTTGGTCCACCCAAATAATGAAGGTTTGGATTGTTTGCTGCTTACATTAGAATCCTAACCTGTTTTGTGTGTTGTTACTATTTACTATTCATTCTATTTCTATATAGTGTTGTGAACCGGGCCAGGGGCTCGCGGTTGCACTTGGAGGCAAGGTTGGTTAAAGGAAAGGCAGAGGTTTTCGGCACGGATATTTATTGGGTCTTAGTACAAGCAAATCAAGCAGTCAGAAGGAACTGCACGGTAGCGCGGCGCGGTACTACTACGCGGAGAGTCTGGGGGAGCACGTCCTACTTCAAGCGCGTCCCAGACAGAAGTGCCCGGTGCCGCGGCGGCGTTGCCTGCCGCGGTTCGCTCGAGCCTCCCGCCAGAGAGCTGGCTGGAGGGGGTAGAGGGCTGCTCGGGCTCGCCGCTAGAGTGCAGCACCCCGCAGAGGCCGCGGCGCTCACACCGGCCGTGCCGTGGGCCGTGTGGTGGGGGGCAGCGCGTCAACACAGCAGACAACTCGGTTGTCTGCTAGAGTGCTGAAGTTTGCAATGAATGCCAACAAACCTCACTTCACAACACTACCCTCCCCTCTCTCCGAGAGCCTTTCGCATAGGGGATGCAGAAATGGAGGTTGGTGTGAAGGGGAGTGGTTCCCCTCCTTCGGAGCGTCAAGGACGTTGGGAAAACCCCACTAAAACCAACGTCGGAACCAGGGCTTTGAGGTTATGGACAGGCAGGCAAATGCTCTGGTTGGGCTGGCAGTCAGCTGACAAGCCCAACTCTTTTCCAGCAAAACTGCACTTGTCCTAGACCCAACCCTACTAAGTGCCTCGCAGTGACTAAGGTGATCTTCCTTCATGCTGGGTCGTGTTGCTCATCTCAGGCGGTCTCGGGCTACTCCTTCTCGAACTAGATGACTGCGTTCCTGAAGTCTGGTTTGAGGGAGGCGACGGGCTTCAGGGCTGCTGTCTCTGAGCAGCTTCGGGGAAGTAAAAGCTGAAACAAATTTCCACTTCCGTAGTAACTCCTGACAAGACAAGTGTTTTTTTCTTTTTTTTTTTTTTTTGAGAACAGTTTCTTTGTCTAGCCCAATTAAATTTTAATTGATTTAGTTTCCCACTTGAATGCAGTAAATCCTTTCTCTTAGTCACAACAAGATTTAGTCAGTAATTGCCGCTACTTAACTTTTGGCCAATTCCGTGGCGTGGTTGCTGCTGTGTTGTCGCTGACTGGGCCCCGCTCTTTCATCCTCCTGAACAACTGGTCTCGTAGTGGTTAGCCTTAGCTCCGTGCCCTGGACTGGTTTAGTCAGCCCATGCAAATTTACTCACTAGTCTTTCACAACCCGTAACTGAGTGATTTACTCTGCTTTCCCTCGTTGGTCAGTCATACTGCCTGTGACAAGTTCACGACCCTGACCATTTAAAAGAAAAGGGGTCTTTTCAGAGAGAAAGGAGTTTCTTGTGACAACACTGTGGTGTCGCGGGGGAGCTGCTTTAAGTAGCCTTGGTCAGTTTCGCTGCCCATAGCTAAGCTGTGCTCGTGAGAGAGGAGCAACACAGTGGTGTTGGTAAGAGTGCGTGTTTTGCCCTGAGTCTAGGATCTGAACCATTTACTCCCTCCTTTTTTTTGTTTGTGGAAAAAATAAAAGTTATTATTCTGAGTTAGAATTTGAAACCTTATTGCACCTTTTTCCCCTTCTTGTGAAGGATTTTTTGGAAAGATAGATTTTAGATTTAGAAGTTATTGATTTATTGCATTCCCTTCTTATCAGAATACAACAGTATTACATGTCCAAGATAAAAGTGATCGGATAATGATCTTTCTAACAAAAGAAACAGTGATCTTTCAAAACACACGTGAACCAAACACAGAAGTGAACGAGAGGGTCCAATCATAACGGACAATGATCATTCAAACAAAAGAAACAGTGATCTTTCAAAACACACGTGAACCAAACACAGAAGT